TCAGTGGGGAAGCAGAATGGGGAGACCTGCCCCCCTTGGGCCCCTCCTCACCCTTTCTTTGCCTCCTACCCCCTGAGACCTTCCCTCTCCCAACGGGATTGGCTACACTTTTGACTTGGCTGGTTCTTGACCTGGTGGACGTGGCTGCAGTCTGGAGAAAGGAAAGACTGAGGTGGCAGAGCAGACCACTCTCCCGTCCCAGACTCTGTCCAACTTCTCCCCCTTTTTGCCTCCTCGGAAGCTTGCTGCCCAGAGCCAAGTCCAGAACCCAGCCGGCCATCTCCATGGTGCCAATTACCAGCAAGTGTCTTTCCTGCGGCACCCGGTTCAGGCAGCTACTCCTGCCCCAGAGATGAAGGGGCAGCTTTGCAAGGATCCGGAGCTAGCTCCCGGGGGCCCAGAGTCCCCCACTTGAAGAGGAGCTTGGGCTTCCCTCTGCCTGCCCGTGGAAGGAGCTTTGCCGCAGCCTGTCTGAGTCCATCTGTCCATCCCCTCCTGCCTGCCCCTCTTCTGGTGGCTCTAGGAATTGGGGTTCAGCAGGGACCAAAGGAAAGGAGGAGGTGCCAGGGGCCTGGCACAGACCCCTAGGTGCCTCGCTCCAGGGAGTCACAACAAGCTAGTTTGGGAACCATTGGTGTACTGGAAAGAATGTTGTCTGTGTTCTGGAGGAGGAGCTGTGGAACCTGAGTTTCCAGACCCCAACCTTAGAGAGCATTCGGGGGCTGCTGTATTGGAGGGGGAGGCTAAGGAAAGTTGTGATTGGGACTGGTGGTGCCAAGATAAGGGTTTCTCAAATTGGAGAACCCCTCCTTGTTAGATGAGGTCGAAGGTTATCTTGTCTACCCCTTCTGCCTCCAGGCCAGGGGTCTGGGGAGGCAAATAGAGCCCCCCCGTTTTAGTCTTTTTAAACAAACCATCCTATACTAAGGGCAGAACCCACTGCCCCGGCCTCAGTTACCTTGGCTGAAGGAAAGATGGTGATAGGAGAGAAAGAGTGAAGAGGCGTGCATGTGAGAACTGGGAGATTCCTTTTCCAGCAGGCCTGGGTAGCTGCCTTCCCAGCCCAGCCCTCCCTGGGGCCTGCGGGAACCCTTTTGCATGCAAGGGAGGGTGGAGGCTGGCCCCTCTTTATAGAAGCACATTTCTGCCACCTCCCCTGGGAGGCACCCAGAAGCCTGCCACTCTTTACCTAGTCCCTGCTGTGTAGGGCGTAGTCTGGGTTAGCTAGGTAGAGTTAGTGTTCCAAGCCCTGGGGCCCTTTCTTAGCTCATGCATAGTCCTTACTGAGTCCCAGGACGGGTGTAGAGGAGACTCACGTACATTCCAGGAGCCCACTGTCTCCTTGCTGGCCTGGGCCTAGATGGGGCATCCTGGCTCACAGGAGGCCAGCCCCTCCTCTTCCTCCCCCTTCCTCCCCCTCTCCCCTGTAGGGTTATAGCCGGAGCTGCCTGTTATACTCGGATGTTCTGATTTATTATTCTTGGTACTGACTTTCTTTATGAGGCACTCCTGAGGGTTGTAGGACCTTGGCAGAGGGGGCCTGGTCTCCATTGGAGGGTGTCATTTTCCCCTGAGGACACCCCAGGTTGCCTTTGGTCCCACCCTGTTCCCAGTCCCAGTCCTGGTCCTGGTCCCTGTCCCACCAGGCAACTCCTTCCACCTGGAAATTCTTCCCTTCCCTTAGCCTGTATAAGCCCTGGGTATCCTTTAAAGTTCTGGTCGATGGATGTCGCCTCCACAGAGCTGCTTACCCTGCACTGGGAAGTGGAGATGGAGATGCCCCCTTACCCAGGAGGTCTTCAGAGCTTCCTGGGATTGTGGCGGGTGGAATCCCAAGGCTGGGGACAGAAGGAGCAGGGCTCTGGAGGAACTCGCATTCAAGGCACAGAATCGGCCTCTCGCCTATTTGTTTTTTTAACCAGTGTGATTTCTCTGCTATTCGTTTATTACTCATCACTGGAATCTTTTGAGCCAGGAGAGCACCTTCTCTCTCCAGCCATTGTCGCTGTGGTGATTCAGGGGTAGCTCTTCAAAAATAGGGCAGAGCCTGGCTGTCCCAACCAGAGGGAGCAGGAGCTTGGCCCTGACAGCTTGAGCCCTTCCCCTGGTGTCTGCACAGCCTTCATAGAGAGAGAGCTCCAAAGCAATAATAACACCTGGGGGTGGTCAATGAGAGCCCCCTCAATGATTTTCTTGTTTGTTCTGTGAAATCTCGCTCACCTCCTGGAGGGGTGGAGCAGCTGGGGGCTGGAGCCCTGTTTCTTTGTATCATCGTGAGCATGTGCCCCCTTCGCTGGGGCTGTGACCATAGGGTGTGGGAACCACGGTCTGTCTTCACCAAGGGATGGGGGTTTGGGGAGGGCAGTGACATTTTCATCATTAGCTTTGGAGAAGCTTCAAGCCCATCCTGTCCCCACTGCTGCCTGGCCCCTTGCTGACTCAGGCTGTACTGTTTGAAGAGGAGCAGAGAGGGTGGCACTGGGGGCCCTTAGGGGGCTGTGGCCTCCAGGGCATGACTTTTTTCAATCTCTGGGCCAAGATCACATGTAGGATGCCACGGGAAGGAGCCATCTCCACTTTCCTTCTCCAGAACCCCCTTTGTATAGTAAAGGGGAAGGGCCTTTGGGACCATTCATCCATTTCCATTTTACAGACAAGAAATCAAGACCCAGCTTGGGGGAAAAGCCACCCCTGGAATCACCTGTGTGTTTAGTGGCACCCCCAGCCTGGGCTTCCTCCTCCCAATAGAGGCTGAGCCGGAGCCAGGGCAGTGTGAGGCGGGGCCCACACCTCCTTCTCCCTTTTTTTGAAGTCCACTGGCCCCCAAAAGATGGGCAGGACAAGTTGTAGCCCATCTGAGAAGTTGGGAAACTGAGGCCCAGAAACAGGAAGTGACTCACACAAGACCCCTCAGCAAGGTCGAAAAGTGGGAAGAACAATGGGCTCCACTGTGCTTCAGGCGACAGGAGATGTTGCTCCAGGGCTTGTCTGCCGGGACAAGGATTCCTGGCCTCTATGCCCTGGCTGCACAGCCCTGCTGGGCACCACCTCTATAAGCCAGTGACTTCTCTGGGCCTGGGTAGGAGGAAGAGGTTGCCAGGGAGACAGCTCTCCTGGGGGGCTGGCTCAGCTGACTGAGGGTACACAGGATGGGGTCTAGACCTTGATGCCTGGGTAGAGGTTCCTGCTAAGGGGCCACAGTCTCTTCAGGACCAACTGGAGAGGGAGTTAGGAAACAACAGTTCCTGCCTGGGGCAGTGAGGGAATGGGAGCAGCTGTGGACACCTCATTTTAGGGAAGTCCTCCCCAAACTTTCAGATGTAGTGAGACCCGGCCTTCCTGTTGTACTTTGAAGACTTGGTTTTCAGAATGCTTTTACCTTGAGTGTGCCCTTTGGCCCTCACAAGAGCCTCTGGGGAGTAGGTGGTGGCCTGTGCCATCATCCCCGATTCAGAGCGGGCAGCTGAGGTCCTAGGAGGGAAGATGCTCGCCTAAGTGCTCGCCTTAGGTCCCGTTGTGTTAGTGGGTGGGCAGCACTGGAGCTTGGTTCTCCAGCAGCCCAGAGCTCACCCTTTTACACTCAGAGATGGAAATAGCTTAGGGGGTGGTTGTGCACTTCACAAGCCAATTCAAGATCCAGTTCCTTCAGCCAGGAGCTCCTGGGTGCATCTCCGTGTCAGAAACAGCACCGAGTTCCACCCCCTCTGGAGGCACAGCTGTTGCATCAGGCAAGGTCACCTGCATTTATTTATTGAGCAGCAGCGCTGTGTCAGGCCCGGGGATGGAGTCCCCTCCCTGTTCCCCCATGGTGACTACAAAACCCTCTGGGAGGGCCCCACATCTGTGGAGCAGCACCTCAGCGTGGACGGAAAGCATTCACGTCCATGAACTCACCTGATGCCAAGCCTGTGAGGCTGATGGTGCCCATCTAACCCAGCGCTTCTGTGAGGTCAGAGTGGAGCTGAACCCAGGGCTGTGGGCATCACCTCTGGAGCCCATTCACTCTCTGACTGCCTCCTGGGCGAGTGGCGGGAAGGCAGGACCCGGGTCCTCAGGCTGGGAGCCTCCATTCACCCACCTTTCCCTCATTCCTTCTCTTAAAGCAGGAGCCGCCTAGGCCTTTAGGGAGGGAGGGTTTCTGGGTCCCCTGGGTTGGAGTGGGGTCACGTTGCATTGCGTTCATGACCATGTAGCTCATGTTAAAAATTAAAGTTTTTGGCTTTTCTAACCTGGCTCACTCATGCTTTGTGTTGAGACAGTCCTATCTGGGAAGCCAAGGGAAGGGGGTGTTTGGAGGGGCTGAGTGCCACGGGGTGCCAGGATGCCACACCTCAGGCTTTGTCTCTGCCCCCTTATGGTGCAGGGGCCTGCTTCAGAAAGTCCTATTAGAGATGCACAAGAGGGAGCAGGGTTCTGGATGAACAAAACCTACAGATGTGGAAACTGAGGTCCTGGGAGGGGATGCAATTCTCCAAGGTCACATTGCTGGTGGTTGACGAGACCCAGAAGAGAGCTCATCCCATGGCATTCTGCTATGTCCAGGTGGCCCCAGTGACATGGTGGGTGGGTGACAGCAAGGCCTTCCTCCCTAAGTGGGGCTGGCCACAAAGAGCATCAGTCATATGGAGGAAAGAGGTCATCATTCACACATGGGCGGATTCCACTCTACACACTGGGCAGAGAATGAGAGACTGACCCACTTGTCCACACTGGACTGTACACTGTCCCATTTGGTCCATCTTTGTTCCTCATGCTTCTTGTAGTGTAAGCATCTGACCTCACTAATTCCAGCGAAGATTCCAGTGTTGAAAGTTGCACATTTCAACTGCAACTCAGAAAACCAGCCTCTTCACAACAGAAAAGTTCCTCTAGAGGGCCTTTCTGGAGCAAGCCTCTGGCATGCACCTGTGCAGAGCCTCGCCCAGGTGCTGATGTGCCCACGCCTTCATGCAATTTGGACTACAAGGAGTTTGCTGCTACAGGGTGACCCTCGAGCCTGGTTTGTGCTTATGATGTGACTGTAAAGTATTTTTGGAGAGGAGGGAGGGGACTTGGCCACAGAAGGTAATGAGAAACTGTGTAGCTGAAGACCGCCCGGAAGCCCCTCACATGTCTCCAATCCCTGGGGAGGGTGCCCTGATAGCTGAAGCCAGACTTTCCCTTTTCAGATTCAGCCCAACCCGGGTGGGGTTGTCAGATGGACTTCCACCGGGCCCCGGGCCTGACTGCCTGCCTTCGTGCACGACCCCCGGGCTCGAGGGGGGCAAGAAGCCCAGGTTGTGGCGGGCGCACTTCTCCATCTGGTGCACGTGGCAGGAGACAGAGGCGGAGCCGCCAGAGCCTGCCGGGCGCGGGGCAATGAGGGGTCGCGGCTCTCGGGCTCCCCCTGGTGGTGCGGGCTGGGGCCACAGGCAGCGCGCTCGGACCCATCGGCGCTGGCGGCAGGGAAACGCAGGACCACGAGGTTGAGGAAGGCGCCGATGACCGTGAGCCCCAGGAGGATATAGAGGAAGCTGAAGGCCACGTAGGGGGGCTTCCTCTGCAGCGCCTCTCCGCTCTGCAGCGCCACGAAGTCGCTGAAGCCGATGGTGGTGAGAGTGATGAAGCAGTAGTAGTAGGCGTGGAAGAAGGTCCAGCCCTCGAAGTGCGTGAAGGCGACGGCCCCGAGGGCCAGGGTGGTGGCGCACGCCAGCAGCCCGGCCACCACCAGGTTCTCTGTGGACACGCGCAGCCCGCCGCAGGCCCAGGCAGCGCTTGGCCGCCAGCAGGAGGCACTGGACCAGCGCGTTCAGCCGCTCGCCCAGGCTCTGGAAGGTGACCAGCGTCAGGGGGATGCCCAGGAGCGCAGAGAACATGCAGAAGACCTTGCCGGAGTCAGTGCCTGGCGCGGCGTGGCTGTACCCTGTGCAGGGAGAGCAGAGGGGAGGGCTGGTGAGCTCAGCTCCAGCTGACTACAGTCCGTCCCCATCCCCGGGGCTGGCAGGGCACCTGCAAATAATAGTCCTAACCAGGTCATTCCCCAGCTCTACAACGTGGCGTGGTTATTCATCTTCACCCCAAACCGCAGACAACCAGTGTCCCTCGACTGGGAAATGGATAAACAACCTGTGGCGCATCCAAACACTGGAATTCTTTTCAGCAAACTGAATGAACTCCTGTAACCTTGCGGCAACCAAGGATGGATCTCAGATGTCTCCAGCTAAGCAGAGGAAGACAAGCTCGAAAGCCTACAGACCTCATGGTTCCGTGTAAATGACAATCTGCTAGTGGCAAAACTGTGGCGACAGAGAACAGATCTGTGGTTGGTTGCCAGTAGCTGGGGTTGTGGGGTGGGTTTAACTACAGAAGGCATGGAAGAATTTTGGGGGCTGATGGCAATGTTCTGTCCTGGTCGTGGCTGCAGTTAAAAGACCCGTATTCATTTGTCAGAACTCACAGGCGTGTACACAGGAAAACGGTGAGTTCTACTGTATGTAAATTATGCCTTGAGGAAAAAAAAAAGCAAAACTTTCCACACTTTCCAGCTACACCCCGAGCTGCTTCCCCAACCAGCATGTCCCCTCCACATGCCTTTTCTCCTGCCTTTTCCCCTGGACTATCTCCCCCAGCTTCTGCCTTCCCCTCCACTGCTCAGCCTGCCCTCACTTAAACACCTTTTGGTTCTGATTGTCTGGTGTGGCAATTCTTCACAGGGTCCCCTCAACTACTGTAGGGAATTTAAACATGACTGAGCATCCTTGAGTCCTGGAACACCGTGCTATGGCAGGGGAATGAATGGGCATCTCATTGTGTGTCTTTTCCTGGAAAGAGGAGCAGTCACTTTCATGGTACTCTCAAAGGAGCCCGTGCCCCAGGAACAGTCAGTTGGATCTTCCCAAAAAGAGTATGCCTCCTCTAACAGATTGGCCCTACCTGCCAAAAAGTACAAAGTACAAATCCTTTGACCAAGGTAGTTCCAAGTGAGGAAGTTAGCCCTTCAATATACACACATGCATAAAAATATGTGTGCATGTGGCTCATCATTGCAGCATTGTCGGTCATAGTGAAAATGAGAAACACTGTAAGTGTCCATCGAAAGGGACCTGGTTAAATAAACTATAGTGCCATCCAAACCATGGGATCCTACACAGTAGCAGTTCTCAATCAAGAGTGGTTTTTGCCCTTAAGGAGACATTTGGCAACATCTGGAGACATTCTGGCTGTCACAAATGAGGGTGGGGAGTGGGGATGGCTCTCTAGACTGGCATCTAGAAAGGAGAGGCCAGGGGCACTGCTAAACACCTTGCAGCACACAGGACAGTCCCCACTGCCCCAAATGTCAGTAGTTCCAAGGATGAGAAACCCTACAAACAAAATGACGCATCTCCTTCGAGACTGACATAAAAATATCGCCAACATATATAGAGCGAAAAAAGCAAGAGAGAAAACTGTGTGCATAATGTCTACACAATATGTGCGTGTGTCTTAAAGGAATATATAGGCAAAGAATATATCTAGAAGGACACACACAAAACTGGTAACTGTATTTAACCCAAGAAGAATTTATGGGCTGAGAGACAGGGTAGGAGGGAGACTTCCTTTTCATTCCATGCCCCTTTGTACCCTGTGAAGTGTGTACCGTGTGCATATATAACTTATTCAAAATCTCAGCACTACAAACATTTAAAGGCCTGTGGCTCCACTTCCGCATTTCTGTTACTTCTCTGTTATTTGGGGAGAAAGGGGTCTGCTCATCACTTGGCTTTGAGATCTCTGAGGGTAGGGACGATGGTGGTCACCTCTGTATAGTCCCCATCACCAGGGTCCTGCACCAAGCCTGACATAGACTAGAAGCTCAATGAAAGTTTCTTGAATCAAGGCAAGTTGAAGGGGGCGCTACTGAGAAACAGAGGAGCCTCTTCAGGAATAAGAGGCTTCCAGCTGTTTGGGGCTGTGCCAAGTTTTGGCAGAGAGTGAAATGAATAATGATAATAATAATAGTGACAGGAACTAATCCATGTAGGTAATGTGCATGGATTATCCGGTTTAACCCTCCCAATGACTATATGACATGTTATTATCCCCATTTTACAGATAAGAAAACTAGATTAAAAGGGACAAAACTGCCCAAAGGCCACGGGCCTGAGCTATTGCTTCAGTGCCTCTCTCCCATCCAAGCAAAGCCCAAATTCCTGGGCCCTGGCACCTGGCTCTCTGAAAGGCTGGCATAGCAGACTGGACCACAGTAGGTGGTGCCCCCAAGTGGCCAAAAAAGGCAAAATTCCTCTTGTTTCCACTTAAGTCTCTTACCTGAGCCTCCCAGATGTACCTCAGAGGTGAAGAACCGGCATAAGAGGCCACACCCACCTGGTAAGCCTCCGAAGAATGTGGAAAAAGGCAGAGAGAGCAGGTTGATGGCATCCCAAACAAGGGGGCGCGGTAACTAGGAGGGTCTCAGGCTTTACAAAGATAGGGAAGCAGGGGTGTCCATGTGGACAGGAGGGAGAAAAGAGCTGAATAAGAGCTGGGGCCATGTTGGCAAATAATGAATTATTACTACTAATGAATAGCACCTACTTGGCCTCAGGCACTGTGCCAAGCATGTTACATGCTTGACCTCACTGAAACCTGGCAACCGCTCAATGAGGTAGGAACAATTGCATTTTGCCTTTGGGGAAACCAGGGCTCGAACAGATAAAATCAATTGCCAGAGAAGGCAGGTGGCAATAGAGAGGAGGAACTCCAGTCTCTGTAATTGCAGAACTCATGCTTTTAACTCCACTGCAAAACCCACAGCTCACATTCACTTGCAAGAGCATTATTGGAGAGACTTTCTACAAGGCACTGGCTTTCAGGCTGGTGGTCCAAGCCCTAGGTGGGGTGCCTGGACGCTCACAGCTGGAGCCTGGGGAGTGGCTGACACCAAGCTTAGAGCCCTGCAGAGCCCGCTTCTCTCCTTCCTGTTCCCCCAGACTTAGGCTCAGCAGGTACCAGCCAGATGGTAGTCATGGCAACAGCTGGTGGTCCAGATGCTGCAGAGGAACTGCTCTGCATCCCTGAGGGCAAGGTCCCGAGCCTGTGGTTATTCGTCATTCCTTTAACAAGTATTGATTGAGCATCTATTGCACCCTGGGCACTGGTCATACAGCAGTGACTAAGACAAACTAGGTCCCCATTCTCATGGGGTAACAATAACAATTGTAATAGAGGGGTGGCAGCGTGGGGGGGGGACAACTGTAATAATCAAAAATCGATCTTTGTAGTGCTCTGTATGTGTCATGTTTCAGCGCAGATCCTGTGCTAAAACTTTCTGCAGAGTTGGCCTCCTGGAGAGTGCAGACACCACAACCCTAAGATAAGGCCAATTAGCCACACTGTTTTACAGAGGAGAAAACTATGGCTCAGAGAGGTTGAGCAACTTGTCTAAGGTCACACAGCAAGTGTGAGGCAACCAGGCAAGGAAAAGCAACTCCAGCCACTTGGTCTTCCAGCCAGCCCCCCTTCATCTGTCTCCAGGCCCCTGGGACGTTTTCTGAGCACTCCCGGCTCAGCCTCTTGGCAAACTCGATTTACTTATTCCTCTGGTCCCTGCCTGCGTAGGCTGACAGCTCCATTCAGCAGAGCGAGGAGAAGGAGACTAGGGAGGCTCGGTGAGCCGAAATGACCCGTACGAAGTAGCTCAGCTGGGCTGGGGCAGAGGTGGGACCGAAACCCAGAGGCACCCCAGGTGGCTGGGGCTGGAGCAGGCGCGGAGGGAGGCTCCGGGCGGCTCACCGATCGTAGTGATGACGGTGATGGCGAAGTAGAAGGAGCCAGCGAACTTCCACTGGCGGCGGCGCGGTGGGGCTCGGCCTAGCGCCAGGCGCTCCAGCTCGCGGCAGTCCTCGGCCGAGAAGCCGAACTTCCCCCTGAGCGCGCCCCGCTTCTGGACCAGCAGCCGCTGGCGGCCGCTCTCCGCCTTGGACTCTAGCGCGTCGAAGACAGCGGCGCCCACCAGCCGGTAGCACAGGGTGCACAGGACCAGCCCGGCCGCGCGCACGCTCGGCCTCCGCATGCTGCCCTGGCCTGGGTACCCGCCCGGCCCCAACCTGCTCCGTGCCGGGACCGCGCGCTCCGCTCCCTCCAGCCCCGGCCCCACGCGGTAGGGGTGTGGCGGGTGGGGTGGGGTGGCCGCGGGGCACCTGGAGGCTGGGATCGCCACGGTGGGGGGGCCCAGAGAACCGCTCCCCTGTCCGCCTCCCACGCGCCTGCCCGGGGTTCATGTGTCTGCAAACAGTGACATCTGAAGCAAAGGCCCAAACCTCCAGCATGCAGAAGTCCTGTTCCCACCCCTAACTCATGCTGTGACCTTGTGCCAGTCATCCTTCCTTCCTCACTTTATCCCTCCCTCCTTTCCCCCTCCTCCTCCTTCCCTCCCTCCCTTTCCTTTCTTTCTCTCTCCTTCCTTCCCTCCCTTCTTCCCTTCCTTTCCTTTCTTTCTCTCTCCTTCCTTCCTTCCCTCCCTCCCTCTTCCTCCCTCTTTTCCTTCTTTCCTCCCTCCCTCCCTCCTTTCATTTTCTTCCCTTTTCTTCCTTCTCCCTTCTTTCTCCCTTCCCTTCCCTTCCTTCTCCCCTTCCCTTCCTTCTCCGCTCTCCTCCCCTCCCCTTCCCTTCCCTCAATCCTCCGACAAATATTTACCAAGCACCTATGGGTGCAAACATTCCTGTTGTAAATAAGGGCGATACCCTAGTAGGAGTGCCAGCTAACAAACAAACAAAGTTACTTTAAGACAAGAGTGATAGAGAAAGAAACAGGATCATTTCTTAAGAAGGTGAACAGAGCACCTAAGGTGGTGGGGAAATCACTGAGGAGTGACTGGGGGAGAGAATCCAGGCAGCAAGTGCAACTTTCTGCTTAAAAGCAGAACTGAGCATGGCTTGGCGTGGCAGCCAGAACAGCAGGGAAGCCAGTGTTGCTGGAGCCCTGAGAATTGGGGTGCAGATACTTTGGGGGAGCAGAAGGAAGACAAAGAGGCAACTTCACACAGTGTCTTTCTTACAAGCCCTTATGTGGGTGTATTGAAAGCCATGGAAAAGCTGTATTATAAACACAGGCGCACACATACACACGCGCGCGCAACAACAGTGATCTGATTCCTATTTTTTAAAGAGTCTCTGGCTGTTATGGGAAAAGGGGTGGTGGCTAAGAGTGGAGGCCAGTTCAAAGGCTAGTGTATCCGAGTGTGTGAAGATGGAGAGAAATGAGGGGATCTGGGATGTTCTGGGGAAGTGGAGCCGGGCGCGCAGCTGGCCACATTGCCCAGCCTTTCTACACTTGCGGAGTCTGTGACCAAGCCTTAGCTCATGGAACATGGGCAGAAATGACATGTGCACTGCCAGGCCTGGCCCGTAAAGCCCTGTGCCACCTGTGCTCCATCGCTTTCCCCCACCAGCAGGCTGAATGCGGAGACCTAAAGTCTTTAGAAGAGAGGGAGCCACAAGGTGGGAAAAACCTGAGGCTGAATGACACATTGCAGGGTCACCCCCATCCCCAATTAGGAGCCCTGGTTTTGAGCTTCTGTTAAGTTGCTGACATATGCTAAGCCCCTGAGGACTGCAGCTCCCCAGGTCATGATCCTTGCAGACTAGGCCCTCCAAGTCTCAGAGGAGGCCATACTTCCATATAGAAGCCTCTAGAAAGGAAGTCCCGCCAACGCCTTGATTTGAGCCAAGTGAGAACTGTGTAGCCCTCCACCCTACAGAACTAGAAGATAATACATTTGTGTTAAGCCACTAAGTTTGTAATAACTTATTGCAGCAGCAACAGGGAACTCATACAGTGGGTGTGAGGATTAAATGAACCAATAGATGTGGAGCCAGAGAGCTGCCCTTGGCCCTGAGGATTTGTCTAGAAGTGTGAGCCACTGTTAGATATCACAAGTGAGCAGATGCCCAGCCTGTAGGGCTGCTGACCCGGTGCCTGCCTGACTCAGTTCCCAGGCAGAATGGGCTCCCAGTGCCTGGTAGAGAGGGCCCTGGACCCCTTCTTCTCCAGAGAAGCAGGATGAATCTCAGCGGCTCAGAAGCAGGTGTTGGTGCCACTACCTCAGCCTGATTTTTAGCAAGAGCATCAGCTGAGTTTGATATTCCGATTTCTGCACAGACTTCAGAGGAGCAGAAACCTGGGCTAACATCTCAGAGTTGGGGTGAGTGGGACACCGAGGACTTATAGCCCAACAAGAGCCTGAGAAGAACCTGTGGAAACAGGGGGATGCAGGCAGTGGCTGTTCTTAGCAGAAGGTCAGGGCCCACTCAGGGGGGAGTTAATGAGGACCTGGTTGTGGACACAGCTGGAGTCAATAAGACCTGGATTTGAAGTCCAGCTCCTCCACTCACTCACTATGACAAGAACAGCATGAGGAAAACCACCCCCATGATTCAATCACACCCCACCAAGTCCTTCCTTCAACATGCAGGGATTACAATTCGGATGCCATTTAGGTGGGAACACAGAGCCAAACCATATTACTGGGTGTCCAGACACAGAACACTGTACTTTTCTGTGCCTCAGTTTCCCCATCTCAGAAACAGGGGTAGCAATAACACTCACCCCATAGGACCATGTTGAGGATTATAGAAGCTGTTTTTTGCTACTATCCAGGTGACCCTTATCCAGTAGCTGCTTCTCCTCCCACTTTACAACTGTCTGTGCGCAGACGTTGAGCATTCTTTTTCCAGAAGCAGGGGCAGGGCTAAACTCTGCCTGTGCTAGGCATAGTCACAGACATCACTCATGGGACCCTCACCTTACAGCCCAGGACACAGAGGCACACAGAAGATACTTAAGCTGCCAAGTCCTCCCAGCCAAGCTGTGGCTGAGCCAGGATTGAACTCAGGGCTGTCTGGCTCCCCTGGTCATGATCCTTGTCAGGCCAGATGCTGCTGGCTTTATCCCACTCTCATCGCCTCCGTGGTCCTCACTTTCGTTGTCTCCGTGCTGAGGCTGAGGATCTGTGGCTGGCTGTGCTCCCTCACTGTTGTGAGGGTCGCATGATGGGCAGCTGAGAGGCGCTTGGTCAGGTGTGTCCACTGGGGGCAGGTGTTATTGGGGTCACAAGGGAACTGTCTGGCCCCATCACGCAGGTGACTCTGCCCTGTGCTTGGCATTTTTGGTTCAGTGGCTCTATTTTAAGCCAGAGGAGGTTAGACTTTGAGTATGTGTGTTTCTCAGGTTGGAAAGCCGTCAGCTGAGCAGTCAGCAAAAACAGCAACACCCGAGGCACCTCCCCCTTCAACTTACCCTCTCTGCCTCTTCCCCTCCTTCCTCCTTTGCAGACCTGAGGGAACCCAGTGATTTTCCTCTGTCCCATCACTCCAGAGGCACACCCACATCCCTCAACGGGGCCTTGGATTTTCTTCTTTCAGAGCTCCAAGGTTGTCAGCTTTGAGGGCGACAAAAAAGGTAATCCCAGTCCCAGGCTGGGCGCTGGGCATGCTTCTAAGTACTTGGAAGTCTGGACCATTCTGAAGCCTTCGTGAGCCAGGCAGGCCGTTCCCGTCTCAGGGAGAGGAAACTGAGGGGCAGGAGAGAGGGAGGACTCACCTAAGGCCATACAAGGTGGGGCAGTGGCAAGAAAGAACATGGGTGTCAGAGTTAGCCAGTCCTTGGTTCTGTCTTGGGCAAGCGACTTCACCTCTCTGAGCCTCAGTTTCCTTGTGTGACCTGGGGCTAGGAATGTCTGCCTGACAGTATTCCCGTGAGGATTAAATACAGTGTGTGAAGAACTGCTCAGCACAGAGTGTGCCCAGCAAATATTAGTGCTGCCCTCCACCCAATTAATTTCTTCTTTCCCCTTTCCACACTGCCTGTTCCTCAGGGCTACTGGGATCTTAAGAGATTGATTTTTTATAGTTAGACTATAGCCTAGTAATTTCCCAGAAAGCCAGAGGACCGGGCAGATTCCCTAATAAGATCTCTCTCCTGTCTCTCTCCTAAAAGAATGGACTATTTTAACCTCAAGGGACAGTAGGTGCCAGCTCCTTAGAGGTGGCAGTTGTGGCCTTTCTGTAGCCTGATTATCTTTGAGGGATCTGGGTTACAAGAAATTAAATGCTGTCTCTTGGTAATTTAAGCAACGTTACTGGTAGGAATTTGGGGTCTCTCATAATTTTCTGGGCATTGAAAGACAAATCGTGTGATCTGGGGGACCCAGAGAGCTGAAACCTTGAGTAGAAAAACACCATAGCCACACCCAGTGGGGCCACCATTGCTCCCAGGCCAGTGAAGATATTATTTGGGGGACAAATGACAACCGTCTGAACAAGACTGTCTCTGATGGGTCTCAGGCGAGGTTACTCAGAGGAGTCCCCACACGTGTTTGTGACCATTTAGTTGGAGCCATTGAGAGTTTGTTCTTCAGCCTTGTACGGATCCATATCTTTGAGTTAATGGAGTTATTAAAGCCCTTACTCTGGGCCAGGTGAGGTGGCTCATGCCTATAATTTCAGCACTTTGGGAGGCTGAGGTGGGCAGATCACTTGAAGCCAGGAGTTCGAGACCAGCCTGAGTCACATGATGAAACCTTGTCTCTATAAAAAATACAAAAAAAAATAGCCTGGCACGGCGGTGCATGCCTGTAGTCCCAGCTACTCGTGAGGCTGAGGTGGGAGGATCGCTTGAGCCTGGGCAGGTTGAGGCTGCAGTGAGCCGTGATCCCGTCACTGGAGCCTGGGGAGGCTGGCGCATCAGCCACTGCACCTCAGCCTGGGTGACAGAGTGAGACCTGGTCTCAAAAACAAAAACAAAAAAACCTTACTGTGGTTTGTTTTAGATTTGAACATCTACGTGATAGGAGTATGGAGGTTTGCTAAGACATTCTCTCTACTTTCATGTATATTTCAGAATTTTCACAATAAAACACTTTTTAAAATAACCTTTTCTCTCTGTCCATCCCACCCTATTTTTTCCCCTGCTGTTTATTTGGTCTGAGTGGGAGGTTACTCTGAGAGTTACAGTAAATAAAAACATTGACTGAGTAGCTAGTATGATCCAAGCACAAGGCTGATCTCACGTCAT